ACTGCAGGACAATGGAGAATGAGGTCCATGCTGTATAAGCAGGAAAGAACATAATTAGAATTGCTGAAGTTCACAGAGAACTATCAATTTACCTTTTAGAATGAGACAAGATATGTTAGCAGCATTTTCAAAATTAAGAACCCTCTTTGATTTATTTATTCATTTATATATTTTTAAATAATCCATTAAAGGGAGGGGATAAATGGCTCCCTCTTGGATGAATAACCAGACGATAACTTATGTGATTGATCAAATTTATACAGGTAAATATTTCCCTTTCGATGTTCTAGGAGAAGATATCTGACTCAAGTAGGGGAAAGAGTTTGACAGACCAGGGAAAATCAACAGCAGTTGCCACTAAAAAGCTAGCATTTGTTATCGGTTACCACACACTGGTGCCTAAGTCACTGCAGTTTCCCCCTGTACTTAGAATAGGAAATAACTGAAGTAGCAATGTCCCCACAGGCTGATGGGCAGTTTGTTTGGTTTAATGGGCCCTGCACTCCATTCCCGATGGACAGCCCTGGAAATGGAGCTGTCTGCTAAGAGAATAGCCAGTTCAGTCTTCCTAGCTATCTAAAAGCCAAATACAATTCATCTTTTCCCCTACCCCATTGCTTTCTGAATTTGCAGTGCTTTCCCTAGTCATCCTCCAGGGTCTAGGGGAAATGATTCATAACCTCTGACACTGAGTCATGAGTGAGGTGGATTGCATAAGAGCTGTGCTGCTTTCCGAAGACAGTTCCACTCGTCAAACCATCCTTTCAAGAACTAAAGGAGTCTCCATAGCCTGGGCAAACTGTTTCACTGCAGCCAGCTCTGCACTGCTGAAAGCTGGGGACTAGAATTTGGACCATTTGGAAGTGCCAGATTCTATGCATGCAGTTTTCACATGTATTGAACCTGCAAACTTTTAGACCTGAAGAACTTTATAGGTAGCACAAAGCATGCTTACACACGCGCTAAAGAAATGTGGTCCCTTCTTCAAGGAGAACATTGCTCAACGCTATGGTCTTTGCTTTTTCATTTTTAGATATAATTTTAAAGGGGGTCAACTTAAAATCAGATACTGTAAGCAAATTAAGGCTATGTCTACACTACAACCTTAAGTCGACCTATGTTAGGTCAATTTACAGCCTCCACGTTAATTACTGTGGTGGTTGATGTCCACACTACCCTTCTTCTATTGGCAGTGCGCGTCTTCACCAGGAGCACTTCCATCGACTGAAGAGGGGCAGTGTGGGGGACTGAGAGCCTGGGCTCTCAGCTCCATGCAGCTCCCCACTGGGAACCGAGTTGTCCATCAGGGCTTCTCGCCTTCCCACTCCCAGTTAGGAGCAGGGGGGCAGTGGCCTGAGGCTTCTTGTCTCTAGCAGGAAGCTCTGCACCTGGAGCTGGGTCAGCTGCTGTGCTCCTGGCAGGGAGACACCCGGGTGGGGGAGACAGCAGGATTCCCAGTGGGTACCCAGCTGGGGAGCCAGAGCTGGTTTTCTTGTCAATTGCACAGCTCCATTAGAGCCCTGAAAATTGACAAGAATGACCGCCAACAGCCAATGTAAGGAATGCAGTGTCTACACAGACACTGCATTGCCCTAACTACGCCAACATAAGCCCTATGGCTCTCACCAGGGTGGTTTTATTATGTAGGCATTACAGGAGAGTTACAAACTGTGTACTGTAAACAAGGCCTGATTTGTAACATTTTCTAGTTACAACTTAGATTATTAAAACTGACAGTATTTTAGAAATACTTTCTACCAAAGAAAACACTACTGAAGAAGAAGCAAAAATGAAACGGAGCAGTCTAGTTTAACTGAACAAGGTGAATAAAATGCAAAACAGTAAACCTGATGCATAAATGGTGGCAAGCAAATTTAGATTTAAAAAATTCTTTCAGCTTTAGTAACATAAAGTGTATTAGTGACCTAAGTAAGCAATAAAATACAAATCCTATATTAAAGTTAACAATATCCCTTTAAAATATCCCTTTATACTTGAACAGCAGTCAGGAATTTTTGTATGTAATTTCTGAGAGCCTTGTTCTGTTGGCTGGTGGAATATAACCTTGCTGGGATACGTCAGAATTTATAGTTTGGTTTCTAAAACAAAATACAAAGGGATCCTCCAAGATTTTTGTCTCTTACCAAATATGAACAGATGCCTATTCAAATTGAGTTTTCAGTTAGATGTGTTAGTGGAGGCTCTTAGGGACATTCAGTTTTTGAGCTCCATTCACCATCAGCAGGAATAATGGTTCTAAAGGTGTGTTGCGTGTTTTGAATGTATACCTATCTTTGGGAATATTAATGAAGTTACCATCTTTTTACAGTGGTTTTGTGGGGGATGGGGATAGGTGGATTGTACCTTTACTAACTTTGCCTGTGAAAGCCAAAGTACATATTTTTATTCTTTATGCTTAGAAACCCAGGCCAGGATTCAAAGCTATTCTCTTAAGGGTGAAATCCACTCTACTCATATAAAACCTGAGTAGCTGGGCTCTGTATGAGTCCAGCATGGGAGTAGGGAGGAAGAATAGGTGTAATCCACCCTGATCACCTGAACTCAGGGCCAAGATGCATGGCTACAAAACTATTTGCTGGAATAGTTATCACAGCCTCTCTGCATCTGTTGGGCAGTGTTGGAAGCCACTGGATCTGTACAGACACAGATTCCATGGAACCTTCTCTGGCCGGCTCCCACCATGGTCTTCTATGCAGGGCTGGAGATTCTTTCTACAGTGCTCAAGGTGTGTGTAGGCATTGCTGCATTTCCCCTTCAGCCACAATGCAGGGCCCAAGCATTGTGGAATACCTTCATTGGTCTTCTGCACTATGGGTGAATATTAGTCTAGAAAAGAAAAGGAAAATGTGACCTGTATTAGGCAAGAAATTATGGTAGCTATTTTGTTTCTTTTATCTCAGCCTCTTCAGATGGAGTAAACATGCTTATTTGTCAACAAAGTTACCTTATTTTATTTAGAGTGCAGTGTGAATCCTGGCTTCTATTCTTGTTTACTGGAGTAATTTGCGCAGGCTATGCCCTTATTTATCCCATGATGATGAGGCTCCATTATTGTAAATTAAAAATGAAAATTAAAAAATGTCCATTTCCTTTTCATACACTCGCTTTTATCTGTCATTGAAAATAAAATGTCAAGGGCCATTTAAAACTTAGTACAGTATTCTGTTCATGTACTGCAGGCACAGGAAAGTGCCTCTGCATAATCTGGGAAGAAGTGTGAATTTGTATTTATTATTTGGAGTTATATTATGTAAATCAGAGACTTCTCCAGTGCCCAAAAATGGTGAATGAGGAAGCAGAGATTGAAGGACAAGTGTATGTGCAACACTTCTTGGCATGTTTTAGAGAACATAATATTTCAACATTAACGTATTCTGCATTAGTTGCACAAGCATTTTTTCCAGAAACCTACCATGCTGTCTGAAAGCTCTGTAATATTACTCATGCTGTTCCAATAATTGCAAAATGCTTAATTATTTCTTTTATTTTAATTCTTTATAATTAAAAAATGCAATTTACAAATCTGCTTAATGAAACAGTCAAGTATAAACAATTTGCTTAAACTATTCCACACATTTCTTCTTAAAACAAAGTTCCAAAAATGTTGCAAACTTTTTGTTACTTTGTCTTAAATATGTGGGCTTGTTTTGAAATTGCTAGGTACGAGTTAACTATAATTGTCCATGCAAGTTGGGTAATTGTTTACACAAATAGCAAGTTAATTTGTTTGTCACTCAGTTTGTATGTGCAGTTGTAGTAATACTTAGGTGGGAGCTCCTGATATGTGAGCCAATATTAGTCATGACACACATCTGCAGGTGGTGTTTCTGGATCGCTAACCTATTGGCCAAATACCTTCGCGGTGCACCTCTATTTTCCGAACAAAATCAGTGGCTGACAGTTTATGCAGGCAGTGTGGAATGGTTGACATTTACCCTTCATTTTAATGAGCCTTAAGTGATTTCTCGTCTCATCTCTCTTACTAACTGGGTTAATAGCAGTGTGGAATCAGGATCTTGTTCCATGTGCCATTTGTACTGGCAGAAATTCCTTTCCATTGTACTGTGTGCAGCCCAGTGCAGATGGTTATGGTATTTAGTGAACTCTCTGGCCTTTTGGTTCTGTTTCTTATAACAAAATGTTAGGTATCTCTCTCACACTGTTTATCCTGTGCCTGTATTCCACTTTAATGATTCTTTGGAATACTCATGCTTCAAATGTATATTCTGAGTAGTGGGTTTGAAATGAGCAATACAAATTCCATTAATATGGCGAGTTCACAGGTTGCTGGGGATTTTTAGTTTCAGGTCTAACTTTTAATTCTGAAGATAGTTATCACTTCTAAATGTGGTGGTTTCCTCAATACACTCGTGCTACATCCTTCTTTCTCCTTTCGTTCTCTTGCAGTGTGTGAAAACAAAGTTGTGCACATTCACTTTGTAGAAAAAGTGATCAGTTTTCAGATGACAGTGTCAACAAGAACACATAACCCATTAGTATTCAAAATACTAATCAAGACATTGAGCTTGGGTAGTAGAAATACCCCTGGGCCAAATCCTGAGGTCCTTATTCAGTGTTTACTCAGTCCATACTCAGGTAAAGCCCATTGACTTCAGAATAATTACAAATACCATGCTTACATGAATGGAATTTATATTGTGAATTTTTGATATTTGGAAGGTACAGTGTTGACTTGAACACTTTTGGGTACATAGGTTATTCTGGAGATGAGCTGTGAATGGGCTCTTCACTTCTGAGAATGTTCTAATGTCCTCTTTATATCAATTATGTATTGAAATCAGTCGGACATCATTTGAGATAGTATTAGTGCCATGCTTCCAATATATAAAATGTGTGGTATATATTGCTCTATCTGTAGGTAGAATGCACTCTGTAACTTAGAGCAGATACTACATGTTAGCCTGTAGACTGTTTTTAAAATGTAATGATTTATTTTAAAAACAATTCATATGCAAAGATGTTATGTTTGTGATACAAACTCAAAAACAAGCAAAGGTGAAAACTAAACACACATTGAGTAAAATATTGATGATGTTGAAATCAATAGGCATTTTGTCACTAATTTCCGTGGGGGCAGGATTTCACCCATTGTTGTCTCTATTACTTAGGCAAAATAGAGCACTACCTGAAGCCTCAATCATGTGAAGCGATCTGCTATCTGATTCTTTATACATCTACTGCTGAGGTCAGTGGTGTTCTACTCATACAATGGCATCTCTCCTCAGCCTGCCCTGAGTAGCCCACAGAAGTCTGAACCACCAGGTCCTTTGGCTGCAAGATCAGGTTCCCCAAAGCCAGCTCTGCCACATCCGCTGCTGTCAGGTCCTGTTAAACGAAGTCTCCATTAGATCAGCTACTGCTGGGATCTGTTCCACAAAACAGCCTTGTTCCATTTGATATGTTGCTAGGTTCAGCGCCACAAAGGCTCTGAAATCTCTGAATAGAAAACCCAGAGCAAAGCAAGATCCCCAGAGTCCTTCTTTTCCCTAACAGTCTCTGGTTGACTTCGGGCTCACTACACAATCTGAGTCCCATTACCTGTCTGCTCAGTGTGACCCACCTTTCCCAGGCTGTACCTTTCAGAATCTTCCCACCTTTTATAAATTCACCTACATGAAACATTTAATATCACTTCCAAAACAGAACTCAAACTCCAATCAATGCCACGTACAACACTATACAGAAATGCACTGGGGCAAAATGATGATTCATATCAATGAAGCCTGCCAGAGCTAGCTTTCTCTTTTTCCTCTATGGGGGAAAAGAGAATTTTCTTTCCCTTTAAACCTTCTAAGTCTAACATGTTCCATTAATTTTTTTTTCTCCTTGTGTTGTTGATACGTATTTACAAACTTAACAGTAGTCGAAATACTTTTTTGGGGGTCTGTTAATTGGTATCTTTGATATGTAATCTTTTCTAAGTGATAGATGCTTGAAAGGGCTTCATGCTGATTATTATTAAACATTTACATATTGTACATGGTGGTTTACAAGTATAGAGTAAGACCATTCCCTTGTAGTGCTGTAGGCAATGCTAAGTAGCCCCCCCCATCCCCAGGACTTGAAAGGAGGAAAGGGGTTTCCATTGCTCCTTCACATCTACACAACACCAGCCAAAATCTGGCCTTAACTGCTATGCCTGTTTTGGAACAAAATGCTGAAGACCTTAGATACTGTGATACGAGTTTGTTTTAAAAGCTTAAGCAAATACATAAAATTGGTAAACATATACTCATTTCACTCACACTAGACTTGTACTGGCAGCATTCCAGCATCTTTGCCAACTGGGATTTTCAGAGGAGGCTAATTCAATCGGAGTGGGGTGCCAAACTCCTTTAGGATTCTTTCAGTATCTCAAATGGCACTATTCATTCATGCAGGCTAATAACAAAGGGTAAAAATCTCATGTAAGGAAATGACGTACACTATTATTGTTTAAAACAACTAATTCATTATTACATTCTCTACATAATATTGCTGTTATATCTCTACATTTTAGTGGGGGGGTGTGTGTGTATATATATAATATAAACAAACACCAAAATGTAGCAAGATATATCGGAATAGAATCATTTCTTTGCTCTATGTGTGGAATATGTGTAATTCCCTCCAAATTCTGAATTCCATATGATATATAAGAAGTAAAAGGCTTGTTTGCCTTTCTCATCTTTGAGGGTAATGTAGACTGACTTAAAGCAAACATGATTCTAGGTTGCTTTGACATGTTGACCTAAATTAAATGATGTAGATATAATGAAATTTAATGAATGCAACTGAGTTAGATATAATAGGGGGGAAAGCTTCCTTTCTAAATGTAATCATTTATCAACAAGAATAAAATAGAAATGTCTATTTCTGAAACAGGAATGACTAAATACGTTTAGCACAGAAACTTTTTTTCTTGCTCTATTGTACTTGGTTTCGGTTAATATAGTAGATGTTGATTCTTTGAATCTCTCATTGTTTGAACATGTCATTGCCCGCTATGTGGAAATTGTTTTCTGGTAGGGGCACCCGATCTTGTTCCCACTTACACTTGTTATAAACTGATGCATCTCCTCTGACTTTAATATATTAACTCCTAAGTTACAGTGAGATAAGTAAGAATACAGTTGGGCTCACCAGTGTTTTATAAAGCATGCATATGCATTTCCTAAACATATGTGAAAATACAGTCAAAATGATGTGGTTAAGCCAGTGGATAGTCAGAGATAAGACTGTTGGTTTTATCTGAAAGCTAGCAGGAATATTTAAGGTTAACTGTATGTTAAATATATCTGTATTTAATGTAAGTTCACCACTGATTTTTTTTTTTTTTTTTTGGTCTGAACTTGAGTTTACTTTTACAGACTCAGGTAAAAACTGTCTAGAATTGGGGATCTCCTTTTGAGGTCTAGGTTTTATCAACCTTTGGAACAATTTTGAAGGTTCACAATACTAATTTGACTTAGCGCTTCCCTCCCCTCCTGTTATTTAAAATAAGGAATTACCCGCCCACCTTTTGGATGATTCAATTAAAAATCAAACAAATATATTTTCTGGCTGAAGGAAAATCTGCGTTTTGTAATAGAGTTAGAAGAATTCCCCAAAGCTAGTGGATGGTACAAGCAGGTTTCCCAAATAGATTTCTATAGACTGTGCTGTATTTATCTTTTTCATTTTAATGGCTTTGTTTTTCTCTGCTCCATTTTTAACATGCCCTCCATGGGCAGAGGTACCATGTAGACGAGCCAGCACAAAGTCTTTGCATCACTCAAGTCCTCAAAGTGGAGCTTAAGGCAAATTTGAGTGGTCCACAGGCTGTGTTCTGGCTTTCTCCTTGGGGTGAATGTTATTGTGCTCACTCTCTGCTCCATTCCTCGCTCTTTTTTTCCATTGTTTTTTCTCTGTGCTCTGTTTTACATAGTCTCTCTCCTTAGTCAAATTGATTTCAAGTTTGAGTTCAAGACAAACCCACTGTGTTCAAGAGCATTTTATAATGGTCTAAACCAGTTTCTCACCTCTATTTTAACCCAGACATATTCCTTTTCAGCCCTGACTATGGGCCCTTTGCTTAGCTGTTCCTGAGAGGTACTGAGTTGCTACTGACATCATTGGGAACTGAGGATACTGAGGATGTTCAAATCCTCTGATGGTCAATGTCTGTGGTATTATCATTGGTTGCCAAGTATTTTGGGTGGGTTGTTATGCTGATGGTGCATTTAAATATGCTGTGAAATAAATTATATCAAAGTGCATGAACTCTTTACTATGATGAGTGAATGTGTCCTTTCATCTGACTAAAGTCATCTCCCATTTTTTCCATTTAGAGTTAGCAGAGAGCCATCCAACTAGAGTGGAGCATGTTATCTGTTTACTATCCTTGATTAATATTTTATTTCGCTTTTAGAGTAAATTGATGCATTTTACATTATTTTCATGTGCCTTGGTGTTTTGGAGCAACACATACATGGATGAATTGGTTTTTGATGCAAACTTTGTGAACAGCACTCTTCCCAAATATGAGAAGTTCATGCAAAATGCCCTTAGGATGCTAGATAAGAACATTTTAAATCTCTTATGTGTTCAGGTATGCTTTTTTCCTCTTGAGGAAATACCCTTGTGACTTTCTGTACCTTGGGGAAACACCCTGCGCCCCCATGTTCATCCTTATAATGTGATTGTGTGGTATCCAATGCAAAGTTTGTCATGTTGGATGTCTTCAGAAGGCTCGTGATGCACTGAACATTGTTGTTATAGTAATGTTATAGGTTGTAATTTCATGTATATAGTTATGAGGCTCAAAATGTGTCCTCATGGCTTAAAACAAGCCCAGGCAAAACTCTCCAGGAGCAGAGGGGCAGTTCACACCTCATCAGGGCATGTATGGGACAAACCCAGCCAGCCTCACAGGGAGAAAGGACACTGGCCTAGGCAGCAAGAAAGGATCTTTTGGACTCTGGAGTGAGTCACCCCCCTTTACTTGGTCAGTTTGGGACTACGATGAGATAATGCACACCTGACTCTGAAGTGGGGGGGGGGGGGGTGAAGCCAAGAGGGAAGAAAGAACATGGTAAAAGGGAGAGACATTTGCCATGCTCTCTCTCTCTCTCCCCCCACCTCCATCTACAGACACCACCACCAAGTGACTGAAGTGTTGATCAAAGGGGAGAGCCTTGCTGAGGGGCAACCAGCCAGCTTGTGGTGAGAAGCATCTAAGTTTGTAAGGGCACTGAAAGTGTTAAGATCAGCTTAGAATGCGTTTTGCTTTTATTTCATTTGACCAAATCTGACTTGTTGTGCTTTGACTTATAATCACTTAAAATCTATCTTTTGTAGTTAATAAGTTTGTTTATTCTACTTGAAGCAGTGTGTTTGGTTTGAAGTGTGTCAGAGACTCCCCTTGGGATAACAAGCCTGGTACATATCAATTTCTTTGTTAAATTGACGAACTCATATGGGCTTGCAATGTCCAGCCGGCATAACTGGACACTGCAAGATGGAGATTCCTAGGGCTGTGGCTGGGACCGGAGGTATTGGCTAGTGTCATTCGGTTGCACAATCCAAGCAGCGGCTGGCCAAAAGCATGCACTCACGTAGCTGGGAGCAGCTTACGTGCTAGAGGCTGTGCGTGAACAGCCCGGGAGTGGGGGTTCTCACAGCAGAGCAGGGTAAGGCTGGCTCCCAGAGTTGAGAATTGGAGTCACCTAGCAGATCACCAGTCCAGATAACACTCGGGGAACATCACAACCTTATTCCCCGTGTCATGGTGGGACCGTCACGCTGTCTGAGGTGGCTTACGACTGAGTGTGCCAATCTCAGGGCAGATTGTCAAAAAGCAGGGCAGACAATCCAACCTGGTTGTATGTTCTATAATTACATTTCACCAACCCAGTAACAAATTTGAACTCTCAAAGTACTACAATAGGCTTATAACGGAGTCACAGACAATTCCCTTGGACATTTCAGTCTGTCTTGCCACCGCAAACTGGAATATATGATAAATGGTCACTTACACCAAAAATCACAAAATATTCAGGTTGCTTCCCATCCCAAGAGACCAGTCACTTACCTCAGATCAATTTGTACCTTAGATCTCACACTAAAGAAAATGTTGGTAGCCAATCCTGTAATAAATTAGCTAAAAGTTTATCATCAGTGGTTTGAGCATTGGCCTGCTAAACCCAGGGTTGTGAGTTCAATCCTTGAGGGGTCATTTAGGGATCTGGGGCAAAAATTGGGGATTGGTCCTGCTTTGAGCAGGGGGTTGGACTAGATGACCTCCTGAGGTCCCTTCCAACCCTGATATGCTATGATTCTATGTGCTGAATGCCCTCAACCTTGCAGTATCTAGGCCATAAGTTTCCATAGGAGTCTCTTTCACCAAAGAACTTTGTATTTCAGTTCTCCTACATCTGTTTTGCAATATCTTTATTTCTCTTTTGTCAGATTTTGTAGGTTATAAAGTAACTGGTGGTGTTGGCACCAGTCATTCGCATCAGTCAGTCTCTCTTTTGAGGTTTGAAACTTCTATTTATTTTTGTGGGCCAAATCTTGGCTCCATTGAGGTCGATGAAAGTTTTCTCATTGGCTTCTTTGGGACCAGGATTTTTAGCTATTTCATTGGAAGATCCTTTGTGTATCCCTGACTCATCCTATGAGAGTACATAGGGCCACCAACAATAGAGAACACAGAGGCAGGAACTTCTAGGGCAGCAAATTTTAGTAGCACCAGAAGCACTAGAATGAGCAGTAGTGTAAATGGTAGGTTATAACTTGAAGTCTTTAAATCATGATTTGAGGACTTCAGTAACTCAGCTAGAGGTTAGGGGTCGGTTACAGGAGTGGGTGGGTGGTTGAGGTTCTGTGGCCTGCAATGTGCAGCAGGTCAGACAAGATGATCATGATCAAGATGGTCTGACCTTAAAGTCTATGAACACACTATGCTAGAGCAGTTTTGCTACCTTATATTGGGAAATCAAAGAGTTTCTGGTTTGCATTTAGCAATATTTATTCAACATTTTGTACCTGCAGTGTTTGCATTCAGTTCTAAGCACCACCTTACTGACAAATTTCAGACAATTCAGAGGACAGCAACAAAAATGATTATCAAGAATTGGAAGGACTGACTCATGAAGGTGGTTTAAAAAGAGCTAATATGGATAGTATGGCTTGTATATATGGGATGGCTAAGATGAAAGGTAAAACTGCTCTTGCCTTACTCATGTGAGGAGTCCAATTAAAGTCAGTGGAAGTACTTGTGTGAGTAAGGCAATCACAGTTTTGTCCTGTGAGACATAACAATGTACAAATATTTGAAGGATGTGTAAACCCCCAAGAGGGAGAGGAAATACTGAGTATATTATGCAAGGAAAGGTACAACTAGCACTAGTGAGATGACC